CGTCCCCGCGCGAGAGGTAGTACCCGCCGCCGCCCACCTAGCCGTGAGCACCGCGCCGTGAGCGTGACCTGCATCGCGTGTGCGGCCGCCAGGGGCAAGAGCGCACCTTTTCGATCCGGTGCTCGACGACGACCGTCTCGCCAAAGTCGTCGGGCCTGTACGGGTCGCCCCCCCCGTTGGCGATGTGGATCTTGATGCACGCGGAGTCCGCGCCGTGCTTGATGTAGTTCTTGTGCGTGCTCGTGTTCTTGCCGCTCGCCTGTGCCTTGCAGCCGAGTCCCGCCTGCAGCGCGAGCACGACGGCGGACTTGCCCGAGCCGTTCTTGCCGACGATGAAGTTGACGTGGGGGTCGAGCTCCACACGCAGGTGGCTGTGGTTCATGAAATTCTCGACGACCACCTCACGGACGACGCCGTTCTCGTACTCCTGCGGCGCAGACGCAGGCCCCTTCCGCCCGCCACTCTTGCTGCGCTTGGGCGCGCTGCCGCCGGTTTCCCCGTCAGAAACATCGTCAAGGTCCTCGACAGGCGTCGCGGGCTCCGCACGCTTCCGGGGCATGCCGGTTGTTGCCCTTTTCGCGCCGGTGCCTGGCGAGGTACTCCCACGCCTCTCGGGGTTTTTTGTCTGGCCGAGTCAACCCGAGATGCTGGGGCGAGCCTCGGCGAGACTGCGTCAGCTGTTCCCACAGCAGGCTGGAAGTACCTCGCCAGGCCGGTGCCCAAAAATCAGAGACTGCTCGCTTACCAGTCCCGTAGAGTGATCTGTCCGCCGATAACGATTGGGGTAGGGGCCCTAACTCGTGATAGGCCACTAGTTTCCCGCAGGAGACTCACCCTCTCCTCTCCTACCTCTTCTTCTGCCTCTGCGTCCTTCACGGACTCTCCGTGGACATCTTTTACTTCATCTTTTACGGAAGTTTGAACTTCCGTGCGTGTCGGGCGCTCCCGCCCGCTCGCTGCTCTGATGAGCGCGGCTTCCGCTGCTCTCTCCTGCTCACCTGGCCATGACGCCGCTCCTCGTCCTTGGCCGCGCCAGGCTCTCCTTCCTACTGCGCCAGCCCTTCGGCTGCATCAGTTCTTTCTTCTCCGTGCAGGATCTGTGCGTCTGCGCCATTGTTGCTGTTGCTGGCGACTGTCCTTGGCAGCAGTGCACGATGGGCGATGGCCTCATCTGCTTGCCTGCGATGCTCTGCGGTCGCCTCGGCCCTGCCACAGCGGCCTCGTCCACCTGGAGACCCGAGTCGGTGGCTCCACAGCCCGCTCTGAGGAATGCTGTTGCATCTCAACTCGTGGCGTGCCTCTCTCTTCTCTCCGGCCTCGTGCTGCAGATGTGGCTGAGCTCTGCGCTCAGGTGGCTCTGGGATATCTCCTTTCCAGGCAGCACCCCTGCACCTTGCACCTTGCATCTCAACTCGTGGCGTGCCTCTCTCTTCTCTCCGGCCTCGTGCTGCAGATGTGGCTGAGCTCTGCGCTCAGGTGGCTCTGGGATATCTCCTTTCCAGGCAGCACCCCAGTGCCGCCTCGTGGGCGGCGTGGCGGGCGGCCAGCTGTCACTGCTGCCTTCCCTCTCGAGTGAGCCTCGCCTCGCTCCTCTTCTACTCGAGCCTCGTCTCGTGTGCCTCCTCGTGGGCGGCGTGGTGGGCGGCCAGCTGTCACTGCTGCCTTCCCTCACGAGTGAGCCTCGGCTCGCTCCTCTTCTACTCGAGCCTCGTCTCGGGTG